AAACAAGCTGCTTCCACTTCCTTCTCCTTCCGACTCTGCAGGGTGTGGGAACGGCCCAGAGCGTCTCCTCCAGGCGCAACGAGATGACAGCTTGCTCAGGAGGTGGTTCACACTTTGCTGGGCAACTTGAGGAGCTTCCTGTGCTAGCCTCCACCCTGGGAGCGGGACTTCATCTGCGGAGGGGGAGCAGCTGCATTTCGTGATACGCAAGTGAAAATTAAACACTTTCCTCCCTGTAAACCACAGCAGCAAGATGCCCTGTCTCCACAGACTGTGGTGGTGTTTACAAGGAGAGACAACGGGGGGGGGCAAGCACAGTTGTCAGAGGGATTTCTGCATTTCTTAAGCTACCTAATCACTGACAAAGGGAAAAGATAAATAAATCACATAAACCAAGGCCATGGCTTTCTCCAGCCACTCTGCTCCTTGCTGGGAGCAAGGCAGCTCAGGGAACATACACGACAGGCACGTGAAACACAAGCGTAAGCACCAAGGTCTGTGCTTCTCCAGAGTGGGACGCACGCTCCTGTTGCCTCTGTGTGTTCTCCGACCTGGCTTCCACCTGTCCAAACAAAACTCACGGTTTCTCCTTGTGCTGCAGCTTGAGGGAGGGACATTATCACCCAGCAAGAAATCCTGAACAAGGAAGGAGCGCAAAGAACCGTGTTCAAGACCGGAACAGACTTGGGCTTGTTACTTCATGTTCCTGCCCTGCACCTGAGCATGCATGCAGTAAAACACTGCATATGCTGCGAGGCTCCTCCAGGGCAGGCAAGCATTTACATTGACAAACGCCTGCAAAGCTTAGAGAACACACTTCTGCAGAATTAGAGGTGGGGATGCTGAGCACAAGCAGAAGAGCTGGAGGGGAACCAAGCAGCAAAATCCACCAAAGGATCAGGAACCTGCAGGCACTGGGTTTCCCCTCCCCGCCAACACCGCCACCGTGCAGGCACGCCTCTCCCCAGGGAGGGACCTTCTTGGCACCAACAGCAAAGGAAAGCCCATGCTCTTCCAGCTCCTACCTCGTACTCAATTGCAAGGTCTGTGTGATCGTCAATGTCCACTTTGGCCATCAGCACCTTCCCCTCCTGCTTGGCCACCACCTTCTCTAACCTGGGGCCTAGGATCTTGCAGGGGCCGCACCACCTGATGGAGAAAGAGGAGAGGAGACATTAGAGGAGGCAAGCGCAGCAGTGGCTGTGGAAGGCTTGCTGGTACGCTAGTGCCTTTACCGCCATTGCCATTCCATTCAAGAGCCAGCCTGGAAACACCATTCCCAAACCACGGCTTAGAAAAACGTTTCTCTCACAAAGGAGCTGTCAAAGGAGAGGGTTGGATGGGTTTGGGGGGTGGGGAGTGGAAGAAGAGGTCACCATTCAGCATTCCTGGTGCTTTTGACATCATTTCTCTCACACTGCAGTCCGCTCTGCCAGCCTTGGTGGTCCTCCTGCCCCCTCTTCGCAGCTGTTCATCCCTACCCTGCCTCGCTGGTGCGTATGTGCAGAGCTGTGACCCTGCTGAGACAAAGCTGCCCTAAAGCAAGCGTCGCTGCCAGGTGCGGGGGGTCACAGCCCAAACTCAAATCAGTTTATGACAATTATCAGACCATAGACTTCCCCTCCGCACTCACCATGGGGTTTACAGAAATTCCCCTTTAGCTGGAGAACTCCCAGAGATGTCGCATCTCTTCAAAAAGAGACCACCTGTTCCAAACCCAAGTGCAGCAGCAGCAGAGTTTGTGAGGTCCTGTACACAGAAACCACTCCCTGCATCCTCTGTCTGCACCAGTTAGGATGCTGTGAACTCGGTTCAAGAAAAACAGGAGTTAAAGCTCTACGTGCCCTTTGGTTTTAAAATCGAAGCTCTAGTAAACTTCGTTCCTCCTCAGCCTCCCTCCATATCAGGTTTCAGACTTGCAACTATTTGTCTTCTCCTCCCTGGATGATCCCAATTAACATTCATTTTGGGCTGTCACTTTGGTCTGTTCAGAGCAGAAGTTTTCAGGCTGTTTCATATTCTGTTTGCCCAGAATCAGCCACAACAGGCTCACGTGACAGCACTGCAGGACTATGAAAATACTTGAGAAAACAAAAATAATCAGTATTGTTAATCCAGCAGATAATATCTAGGAATATTTTTACTGGCAAGAGGATGACGACATTTTTAACAATGACAAATGCTGCTGTTGGTATCATGTGGCTGTTATTAATACATAAAGGCATTTGTTGTCAAAAGCCCTGCCTTAACAGCACGCAGCATAAGAAAACTGGAAAGACAGAACATGACGGTGCAGGAGTATACCAAGCGCAGCGTTCTTACATGGCTGTTAATTTAGTGATTTTAAGAGGACATTTAATCCACGAAGCTAAAAAAAGGGAGATATCAGAGCTTTTTCTTAAGGTGTCTTTTACAGGATGATGCAACACCAGGGCCAGGGTGACACCCAAGCACTTGGGAGGTGCAGTTCCCCCAGGGAACGCCTTCCTGGCATTTTAGTTTTATGCTCCTGCAGGGTGTAGCTACCTCCACAGCGGTTCAACCCAATGGGTGAAACCTCTATGGATTGCGCCGTAGGAGCACCGGGCGGTCGGCAGCTCCACAGCTCAGGAAGCCCTCAGGCACACTCACATCCCCAGTGCACCCAGAGTGCCACTGCATCAGGAAAGCAGCAGGGACACACCTGCGTGTCCAACTGCAGTGAGGGGCGCAAGAGCTGTGGGGGGGAACTTACTGTGCGTGGAAGTCCACCACAACCGGTTTGGGGTTGTTCACCACTCGGTCCTGAAAGTCACTGCCATCTTGCACATTGAAGGTGCTCCCGCAGCCTGCTGAGGTGCCAAAGGCCCTGCTGTGGGGTGCCAGGGGGCCACAGAACATCCGTTGCCCCTGTGGGGGCAATGTC